GAGCACCATTACTCTTTTAACGGGATGAAAGGTCCTCCCGTCTGCCACCCTTATTTGGATCCTAGGTTTTCCTTTCTCCCTCGCCGCTCCGTCGTGATTCTTCATTACTTCATCCCCTCATATCTGTGGATCCATTTTGATAATCATATGCGATGAAGTTGATTTGATTGTGGTATCCGGTCCGCCACTTTACAAATCCATGAAACATATGCAAATCCATTCATGTGAATGCCCTGCGAAAAATACTATAATTTGATTTTAGGATTCAAGAAAATAGGAATGTGAATGACTGCACGCACGCTTTTTACCAGACAAAAAGGATTAACTTTGGCTGTCTCAAGATGGAACCAAATATTTAAAAAAAATTGCCAAGAATGGAAGAATGAGGAAGTTTCAAAACTAAGGTATTCCTTTAAAAAAAAACTTAAGGGAGCTGCAAAATAATTTCATCATTTTCCGATTACGCTTAAATTTGGAATTTTAGAATTTTAATTTAGTCTAAGGGTGCATTCTTTAGTGCCTGCGATATGGAGAGATCTTTCGGAAAAACGAAGGAAAATTGGTAAAGGGTTTACATAGTAAAAACGGTCACAATTATTATGAAATAGAATTATAGTCATGGAATTACTGAGGGAAAAATGAATATCATCAAAGACAAAAAAATGCTGTCCTTCCCATCTTGGAGCAAAGACAAATGCCGCTTGATATCCATAAACCTCCAACTAACAGGCAAGATTCCTTATTTTCACGTCTTCAATCTGAAAGGCGAAATTTTTCACCTCTTGTCCCCCGAGGAGAACCCACACCATCCATCTTCCTTCCCCTGTAACCCACCTGCAATCCACCTGTCGTCTGCCCCTGTGAATGCAATTAGACGTTTAGTAAGGGCTCCCTCTTTTTAAGACTCCACTTTAACGTTTTACTGCATAAAAGTTTGACTCGAATCAAAACTAAAAAAAAGTGTTTTTACTTACAGTAATAAGTATACGCTTACGGAAATGTCCTATAGGAAACCAATAGTTACTTCTCATAGGAAATCTATAGACTTTCCAATAGGTATTTGAAACACGAAAAACCTATAGGATCCCTTTAGGGTCGTATAGGACTCCTGACCTGTAGGATTCGGGGAGGATTTTTTGGGTTTCAAAATCCAGGTATTACGACGGAAAAAGTGATCGGGGTTAATATTGGTGCAGCATTTTGGTGTAAATTAATTACCGATTAGGGGTTTTCCCATGGTAGGGACACTTGCATTAATAATACCAGTACTGCCCATGTCTGCATAATTTATGGCCCCGGCCCACATATGTCGTGGGATTGTGCGTCCATTTCTTTCTGTAGAGAAAAGTATCATTCTTCTCTCGACATAAGGAAACAGAAGACGGAACCTGCGAGCATGTCTCTTAACTGAAACTCCTTTTAGATAAAGTCTACTTATTTAAAAATAATAATATTAGGAGCTAAAGGTATGGTGGGCCCTGCTGTCATGTGGTGGGCCGACACATGACTCTCGCCCACCATGGTGAGATCCTCCCAACATGTGCGCTGGCAGAGAGCAAGACCCTCATGAAGCGAATGACTTAGCCTGAGAAGGTGACTCATGGCTATGGGGGAGAAGTCAGCCAGAGAGAGAGCTGCTTCTTCCCCAGGAACTCTCCCTTGAGGTTTATTATCTTTAGGGGTTTAATTAAAGAGTAAGGAACTATACGGCCTTATTGAGAAAGCAGCCTGAATTTATTTAGGTTAGTATCAGTGTTTTGGGGCGCTTAGTATTTAGGTCCACCTGAGCCAAAGATGAATGAAATCTATAGGGTCCTAGCCGTTTTACTTCGTGAGTCAGTAAGGTGTGATTTTATATAAGTCGATATTATATTTACATCCCATCGGAAGGGTTAAGAACAGATGCCCCGAAGATCATAAGGCGTTTGCGGATCCAGCTGGCCGGAAGGGCCTTATCAGGTGAAAGTCTACTTATTCTTTTTAAAGGGAATATTGGCATATTTCTTGCCTGGACTCCATGATTCTATCTGGAAGATGGGGATGACACATGAGGAAGTGTCGAAGTTTATTGATTGCTACAATGAGGCAAGGCGAGACATTTGGGGAATTACAAAACCCTCTTGTGAGAGATGATTCCATGGCAAAGGGAGGGCACTTTGCGAGAACCCAAAACCTCCATCTAGTGACCTAAATGAGAACTTCAAACGGAACCCTATAGGCTTATAGGGTTCGGTATAGGCCCTATAGGGAACCCTATAGGTCCTACAGGTTCTAAAGGGAGACCTATAGGTCCTATAGGGTTCCGTATAGGCCCTATACGGAACTCAAAAGGTTCTATAGTGAACTCTATAGGTTCTATAGGGAACCATATAGGTCCAAAACTGAACCCTATGGGGCCTATAGGAACCTATAGGATTCTTCTATGTTCCTATAGGATTCCGATAGGATTCCTATAAGGATAGGAAACCTATGATACTTTTTCGTGAGGGTATATGCAAGTACGATAAAGAAATGTCACATATTGACATTTCCCTCGTATTTTGCCTCATGGAGGCATGTTACCTGCAGGTGACATTGTGCGATCATGACACAAAATCAGTTGATGCGAAAATCCATGAAGCAGTTCTTTTCAGGATCCAGGTGGAGAAACATGTTGACTCCGTTTGCTGAGCATTTGGAGCATTTATTGGGTTGGCCAGAAAGTTCTTGCAGTTTTCGCCTTTCTCATTAGGAAGCCTCACGGATATTTTAGAATTTTTCCGTTTCGCCTATAAATGGCTTCTTGCGTGCAGGTTCAGTATATTTTCGATTCCTTACCGTCAAGTATGACCCAGAAATTCGACCTTGACCGTGACCACCTCCGCATCTGCCTCCTCAATGAGTTCCGTCTTGGAGTGAGGGCAGCCGACGCCCATCGTTGCCATGCGTTTGAGGAAGGAGTCATCAGCGAGAAGACGTGCTTTAATTGGTTCGCGCGCTTCAAGTCCTGAAATTATCGTGTTAAGGGAAGCTGAGGTCGGGGCGCTCGTCGGAGTTGGATGATGACCTACTACATCTCGTGGAAGTCGAACCTCCCATGACCACTCGCGACATGGTCGCCATCCTCCGGTGCTCCCACTCCACCATCGAGCACCGCCTGTTCACGATCGGGAAGGTCTTGAAGCTCGGGAAATAGATACCCTATGCTTTGACACGGAAGGACCTCGACCAATGTTCCGACACCTGGACAGTTCTCTCCCGCTGACAGCGCTTCGACTGGCTCGACGACGTCGTCACGGGGAATGAGAAGTAGGTGATGAACCCGAACCATACCCACAAGCGTCAGTTGGTAGACGCTGATGAAGAGCCGCATGCAGAGCCGAAAGACGACCTGCACCCCCACAAGGTGGTGCTCTCCGTATGGTAAGACGTGAAAGATGTCGTCATGTTCGAGCTGCTTCCTCTCAATACCACCATCACCGCGGCCTACTACTGCGACCGACTGGTAAGATTGAACTAGAAACTCTCAACGGTTCGGCTGGGACGCGACAACGTGCTGTTCCTCCATTACAACACCCAGCTACATACCACAAACATGACCCGGCTCAAACTCCTCTCCCTCAGATGGGAGATTCTGCCGCACCCACCGTACTCCCCAGACCTTGCTCCGTCGGACAACTACCCTTTTCCGCGCCCTGAAAAACCGCCTCAAAGAGAAAAAGTTCGACGGCTCCATCGTTCTACCACGGCGGAATCCATTCCCTGGCTGTAGATGGAGACATGTAGTGGAACACAATTATGCTCACATTTTTGACTGATTTTGTATAGTTGCTGAATAAAATTGTTTTCTCAAATACTGTCTGAAACTGCAAGAACTTTCCGGCAAAGCCAATAATTTTCGGTACCTTCTTGCATCATGGGTATTTACATCAGCCCCCCCTTTTGTCGACGGATATGGGCCAATGACCCACACCATCCTTGCGAACATCTGTTGGAGGTGGAGGTGCAGCAGGACCCCTCCGTTTTATGGAATCGCACCTACCATCAGCACCTTGTGATGGCCTTCCCCTTTTCTTTCGCCCTTGCTTATTCTCACTACGAAGATCCTGTGGTAATCCTGTGGGGTTTCCACGGGAATTATAGGTTTCCCATAGAATGTAAAGGGTCGCATTGTAATCCTTTAGACAAAAGAAATAGGAAAATTTTAAAATAATTGAAAAATAAGCCAGTTTTACATATATGTCACGATCCTAAGTGTGATGTAAAAATCGTAGGTCTAATGCACGATTGCATGTTGTTACGTGCACGTTACTGATACTATTTTATTCATGGTTATTACCGAATTTATAATAAAAAATACTTGAAAACATGGATACATGGAATGTGTACTTACTTCTTCCTTGAAATCAAAATTTATTATTGCTCCCTGTTGAATGAAGGATCCAATATTTTACTCCAAAAACAGGTTTTCACGTATACCACATCACCGGTACGCACCGTTCACATCCAACAAAAAGGAAATGAATGATTGTCACATGACATCAGCAAGCAATCTAATTGGTTGAATGAAATTGTGCCCTTCATGTAATTTATAGCGTGCAACTATGAAATTGAAGAGGAAAACGTTTTACATAGCGAGAAAATAGAGTTTGTTACCTACAGGTCACACGCTGCAATAGAGGGTTAACATGCATTGCGTCTCTTTGACTAGAATATGTATTCACTTCGCTCGTACATTCTTCTTCGAAAGTGTCGGAAGTGCCGTCAATAAATCTCCGATGGGTCAAAAAATCGCAGGCGAAACACACCTGCCCTGACCTATTGCTGGACTCTCAACCATTCCATGATCGAGAAAGTCCTATCTAAAGTAAGTACAGGGCAACTGTGTCGCGTGTGCGACCTGATCGTGCGGATCGCGAGAACACGGACTTCAATAAAGGCGTTCCAGTGAATATCTTAAAGTCAGCTATTGCTTTCCGTATTGTTTTATCATATTCCCTCCTAAACAATAATTCACCATGATGAGTTCTTCATACTGGTGCAACTTACGATTAAATGTGCGCTAGAATTTCCATGATATAATGAATAATGATTTGCAGGCCACCGGTATTTGACATCCTTGGATCATTTTCTCCCCGCATGCTGCCGCAGCGTGCTGCTAAGTAGAGATTATCATCTCATATATTCTATATCCTTTTATTCAGCTTACATTTTCAAGTACTGTATCAATACTTATGAGAGTACACAATTTGCAGAAATTCTCACAAGCTAATCCTAATAACGTCACCCAATTTTCTTCCTCCTCGTCATATTTATGACAGATCAGAACATTTTTCTTCATGAATTTGACAACAGCAAGCGCATTCTACAGTAATAGATAAAGACATTTATTGACTGAAGAAAAAAAATTGAGGAAATTGTGGTTTCATTTTCATTTTAGGAAATGAAAAAATCAAAGTATTTGATGGGAAAGAGGATCTGGAGGGTCTGGAGGACGAAATAGAACAAGAGAAAGCTCTAGTAAGACTGGGGAAATTCCTGATTGAGAAAGGAAAAGGAAAGCACGTCCTCATTGATGAAGTCCCCGTCACACTTGGATTCCCGGGCATCATTACCACAGAAGCCCTCTCCAAGCATTGGGGGAAATGGATTGAAGATATGAAGGAGCTTAAGTCGATCACTATCTGTTTTAGACCCAATGACCAAACTTATACGAGAGATTTCCCTCTTGAAGAGTTCCAACCAGCCGGATATGGTATAACCGTCCTCGATGAAATAAAGAGGAACACCCGGAACATATCGGAATTATTTGTGGCCATCGGAAACTATTCTAGGCGTGTCTTTGTATCAGCTGAGCCCTCCTTGGACTTGTCCGAGCTCTCCTCGAAAGTGGATTCGAAAGAAGAAGGTGGAGGACGCCTTCCCCATTTCATCGAGATGACTTCGTGCCAGGCTCTTCATCGTAAATGCACACATGAAGTACTCTGTCAGGTCGTGAGAGCTTCTCATGCCATATACGAGAAATGCAAGGAGTCATCGAAGGTGAAGCCTGTCTATGTCATTGTTGATAAAGAGTGGAGAAGAAATGCTTTCCTCAACGTTTTCATGCTATTGTACCCTGCTTTCCCTGTCATTTGGACATACTACGACGAATTCCGTGGGAAGCGTGCCCCTTTTCGTTCGTTCATTCCTTCGCTCTTCCGTTCGTTCCCCCTCGTCGTCGTCACCGAAGAGGAAATGATGGGATGTCACCCAGTGAACGTTACGATGATCCTCGACTTTCCTGGCTCGAAATGGGAAAACTATTGTCGTTTGATAGCAACCACTGGAGAAAACAAGATCCTCGTTATCGAGGAAGAAGAGAGAAGGACGGGGAAGTTTTCACTCCTCCCTGAAGATGTAATAAAAAATATTCAAGGGAATATCGAGGAAATAAAAGTGGACAAAGAAGATCTGAAAGCAAAATTGAAAAAGGCGTCTCAAAAATACGAAAGGAAGTTCTGGGATCTGAATGACTTTGAATTCTCCGAGCAATCCTTCCCTGGAATGGAACTGAATCAGGATGGTGGAGAAAATGAGAAGAATACAGACATGCAATTGAGTCTCGAATCTCGGCTCATCGGAATATTCGGATACCCTGCCGCAGGAAAATCCAGGAAAGTGGATGCTTTGATTAGACGAGAGACGCGCCAAGTTCTCATTCTTCACTGCGGTGGTAAATTACTTCTCCATGTCCAGCAACAGCGGTGGATGGCGAAAGCTAATGTGAAAGTCTCTTCAACGTCGGTCAACTCTCTTGAGATGATCCTAAAAAAAGTAGAGCAGCATAGAGAGGAAGAGAAGAAAAAGAAGGATAATGAAAGAGTTGAGAAGCGAAAGGAGAAAGAAAGAGTTGAGATGTTAAGGGAGGAGAAGAAAAAAATAAGAAACTTTTTTTCCTTTTTCAAGGAAAAAAAGAAAAAAGCTAGAGAAAGAGAGCAAAAAGGAGAGAATTCGAAGGAAAAAGAGCAAGTCGAGCAGGATCCCCTTGTCGTGGTAGTCGAAGATTGCCCTTTTTTCCCGTTAACAGAGATTCCACAGGTCGTGAAGACTTTGAAAGAAAATAAGATCACGCTCATCCTCGTTTTCAAACCTCATTCAGATAATGCATCGAAGGACACAGTGAACGAAGTTGTGAAAATGTTGAAAGAGAACGAAGAATGCGATGCGATTGTGCTTGAGTCTGAACCGACCAACGTGACTCTGATGAAGCACATCCGAGAAAACGAGACTCCAACTCCTCTGAACTTGGATTCAAGGAATCTGTTCGTGTCTGCAAAGCCTGCCGCCATCGTCCCTGGTCCGCCCGTCGAATACGTCAAAATTGAAGAGCAAGAATGTTCAGGAGAACATCTCGGATATATCTGCTCCGGGAAAGGCTCATGTGGGAACACTGCAAATGTTCTATCTTCCTCCCTGCAACTTTTGGAATCGGAAAACCAATCCGAGCAGAAGGCCAAATCTGGACAAAACGATGCCTCCTGGCCGAAAGATGAATGCAAAATTCCACACATCCTGGTATCAGACAAAAGCCTACTCGAACCTCTGTCAGAGAAGGCGAAAAAAACCTGGCCAAATGAAAGTGAGAAAAACCTGGTCCAAGTGACACACCTGGAGAACTTTCGTGGTTGCGAGGCTTCATATATCGTCTCCTTCAACGTGGACGACGACTGGCTACTAGAGGTGATCTCCCGTTCCAGGACTCGACTCATCATCATCGACAACCTCATCGGACACAGAAACTTATGGAAACAGATGGAGAAAGAAAAACGTGTGAAGTCCATCCCATGTGTCACAAACTCCGAAGAAGACCGTAGCATCCTCCTGCGATTAGATGACCAAGAAAAGTTCCTCAATGTAGGTCTCCTTTTTCCACTCATCACTCCTTTCTCTTGCTCCCTCTCTCTTTCAGGATGAAGTCCCATCCCCAATGTTCCCTTGTGTATGGAACTTCATCGAGGAGGTGGTGTTGCATTCATAATTGAAGCAAGGTATTTTTGGCATGCAGCAATACTACGCACAGACGCCCTCGTTTTGATAATATGTACCCTCTCAAGTTTGAGCCAAGAGCTCTGGTGATTAGGGTTTATGAGCGATTCAGGGACTTGTGTGAGTAGCACGCCCATTCATAAGGTCTTGAGAGGTTCTGACTCCTCTAGGTGCATGGACGGGAAAGATGCACTTCAATAGGCTGGCATTTGCAGTCAGCACGGAAAGGCGTGACCCGTGGTAATTCATTTCACTTATCCAATCCTATCAATTAATCTCTCCTGGAAAAAAGGCAACTTTTGGGGGCGCTATGTCAAGAACATATCGTGGCAGTCATTGTCCTCGTACCGACATGGAAATAACAGCGTACTGACACGAAATTTGCATTACAATACAGTGCTTCACGGAACGAGTTGGCAAGATGTGTCAGTTCCCAGTCCCGGTTTCCTTCCCGGACGAAGTTTTTGAATCGATGTCATTCTCTTCCCTTGAATCTCTTCTAAATGGTGACATTGATGTGCCCACAGCTTCCAGTGGAGAAACATTTTTACGAAAATCTTGTTTATTTTTTGGGCCTGATGTTTTGCCTCTTTGAATCCATCATCAGTGACGCATATAGAATTCCATATACAGTACTAGGTGTTGCATAACGTGCAGTTGTACCTCTGTGCTGAGCGGTGTACAAATCTTCCGAACATTTTTTGTTTGGTAATGAGAATCGGCCAGAAAAGCATGTTATCTTTTTAGCAGTCTCGAACTTCGGAACCGTATTTGCTCGAGAACGATGGGGGATATTACATGTTCTTCTTACACATACCTTCAGAGACACTTATAAAGAAGGATTCTGCCTTTCATGACTATTCTCCATTATTCACCGACGATATCGGAGATTAATGCAGGATTTCGTGGCGTATCCTCGCTACAAGTCTCCTTCCTCCCTTTCGAACCTTCGTTGCTTCCCTACATCACTTGGCGGAATCATCCACGAGAGACCAAAAGCAGGAAATAAATTGTGTCTGCGAATTTCTGTCGTCGTGGAAAGGGTCTACTTTCCAGTCAACTGCTTTCGTGTCATCTAGCGACGGTTGTAAGAACCTTTGGTTCAAGCGTTTCTCAGATGGATATCATAGATATACTTGAGGAAAAAATGTATTTAAGTTTCAAAGAATTCACTTCATATGCAGCATCTTTTAAGATGAAACGGCACCTTAACTGAGCGCACAGAAGGTGCTCATCCGTGTGCATCGTACGTCCAAAAACATATTTGGACACACTCTGAACGTCATCGAGAGTGTTCATGAGCTAGTTCGGCATTGTCATGTGCATACAACCTGCAGGTCTCATTTGAGCTGTGATTATCCCTGACACTCGATCAAGCGAATGGAGCTTTGTATCAACAAATGCAAATGCAATTTTAAATTTTAAATTCCAGAACGAAACGCCAATCTAACACTGAGCTCCCCGATGTCATTTGTCAATGTTCATTTCACCTGTCATTCCACGTGGCACCTTACCCCTTCAATGGAGCATGGTGCCCATGAAGCAAAAAAAAAGTCCACCATATTCTATATAGGGTTGTAACTTGAAAGCAGCATACTACGAGGAGCGCACCTTCCAACCATAGCGAAAGTGTTTCCCACTGCAATCTACAACGCACCTCAGTGTCGACGCACAGACGCGAGATCGCAACCACTGGAAATGAACCACCCAAATGTGGGGGAGTCCCAGTCTCAGAGACATCAACGGCCGGCATCGTAAATCAGCTCCTCCGAAAGGAGGAATACAGGGAACTTGCAGCAAACAGAACAGTCATAAAGAGGCACTGCTGCAAGCGATGCCATCGTTCCCTTGCGAGTACCACGGCAGCTGTAGTCTTTTCGTTCTTCCGAGAGAGGGCGAGACGAGAACGAACCTCCGATTTCATGTGAAAGTTGCCTCCCCTTCCCTTCTCGAGGTCGATTTACATTTTTATTTTCGAAAAGGCACATCCTCGGAAGATACGGAAGAGTTCTGTCGAAATCCCAAGTTCATATCTCAAAGCATTAGGCCTGTAGAGCTGTCACACACACACACACATAAACCCACAATTGTCACTCGGCCAGTACCGCGCACGCTCTATGTTTATAGCGTTTATATATGTTATGAATGCTATAAAAGAAAGAAATTGAAATATTGCAATTTAATTTTTTCTGCTTCAGTATGGCTGCTTTTGTGACCTTTGTGATAGGTTATGATGGGAGTGTTAGTGGAAAGAATTATGCATCCTTTATGTTGCAGGGACCGACCTGGGATATAGTAGGAGGTCGAGTTGGGGCTTTGGCTATGGAGAAACGGGATATCCTGAACGAGCAAACTGGTGAAATTCTCAAATACTTCTCCCTCGAAACTTGGAAAGCCATCGATCCAGACTTGAATCCCTCATCCCCTTTCACCGACTGGAGTTACGTAAGGACCAGTAAGTGAAGGATTACCGAGAGAGATTATCCCAAAATATTTCAGGGAGAATGTGGAAGGACTACTAAAAGGAGGAGACATTTTCCTCCATCCGGCGTCTTCATCTTTCGTCATCTTCACCATCTTTCCAGCGCTGAGCTTAAATATCATTATCTGTGTTCCGAAATTGCTGCCCAACCACTTCCAGATATTTCCGGCTGTACTTGTCCGATAGTAGTTGGCTTATTGATGGCATCCACAATTTCTTGCCTCTCCTACCGTGACGAGAGGGAATTAGCAACTGAGTTCATACGAGCATGATATAGAGTTTCTTATAGAGAATGAGAGAGCAGTTCATTTTCTCTACCCTGTCGCAAGGTTTTTTCCTCGCAGATAATTTTCGACAGGCGCGCTTGGTAATGAAACAAATTGCCGCAGTGATGTGAAGTCCAATTAACAGATAATTTTTCAACATCACACTAGGGAATATTGGTCAAGATGCAAACAGTAATACAGCAATTTTCCCTGCAGAAGTTTGACAGAATAAAACGTAGGAATCAGCTTTTCTCGTCTACTGATCGGCTTTATATATTTTGAAAGGGATGGGACTTACGCTTGAGTGCACGAGAGGAACTCTGTCCTTAATATTCCTGTCCTGCTCTCTCTCCCCCTCTCTTATAAAAATGAGCTTTCAATATAAAATTAACGTTGACACACCAATGTTGTTTCAACATTAGCAGCGTCGATGTTAAACGTTGAATATGCTTACTTTTTGGTCACCCTGTATTTTACCGCTCTCCTCACATCCATACTCTTTTCCAGGCGATAAAGGAGAAGTGCCTGCAGTCGGTGGGGAAAGAAAGAAGAGAATCCTTGAACTCCTCCAAAGGAAAGGGGTACAGTGGAAAGACAAGGACAAGCCCCCTGTGCCCTTGGATATGGAGTATGGTGTTGAAGGATTCTTGCAGGGACTATCTGTTATCCTCACGGGATCCCTTCTCCACCTCCCTCTCTTAAAGGTCTATATCTCAGCATCAATTCTTAAGCCAATATTCAATATCTGTAGTTCTCCATCCCCCATTCATTCTTGGGAGCCAATTGATTGTGAAAACTGTCAACCGCTTTGAAAGGACAGCGATCACGGCCTAGTTTGCAGAAAATTATCCATATTTTCTCATTCTTTGCATAACCTAACCAAACCATAACTTGTGTAGTTTGCAGTTCAAGTTATGAATCATGCAGTTAGGTTATGCGCCATTGTTATGAACCTTCAATCAAGCGCCTTAACTTCCTCTAACCTAGTCAAATTCACCTTGCTGTCTGAATCTGATCATGCAATCAGTGGAATACATAAGAACTTTCATGAGGAATGCAATTTGAATGCAGTCCAAAGACCAACCCTCGAAATCGATGTCAATTCAATAGTGTTTTCCATAGGTTTTTCTGTCAAAACTGGTTGAAATCTTCATCATTCATGAAAGCCTGTGGATCATATGCAGAGAATTTATGTGGAGTTCATGCTGAGAAGCAATACGATGGTCTTGAAAACATAAAATGCTAATATTATGGCCTCCCAGCATTCTCCCAACTTTTATTACATCATTTTCCAGACAATGTATTATAATTTGCCCAGATTTAATGTGTACAAAATGCGAAGATAGTCCCAAAAGTAATGAGACTTTTGATACTGCTCAGGTGCCTTGACTTGCAGAACCCTGAAATACTAGCAAGCATGCGGCATTGAAACCAATTCTTGGTATGAATGTGGTAAATGATGTATTAGCTGCGCCCTTCTGTAACAAGTTTGTATTAGATGATTGCTCTCATGGACAAGAAATAAAGAATAATATATCAGTCAGTAACTAGGCAGTAGATGATCTACTCTCGAAATGTTCGATAATTACAAAGGGTAGATTTGTCTTACCTTTTATATATACTATCTACAGTATCTATATACAGGATGGCCCAAAAAGGGCAATCTTTTCAATGCGCATTTTAGGCGTGATGCTTTAAAGGATGTTTTTCCGGTTGCATGAAATGGAAAGAAGAAAAACTTAGCTACAATATGTTTTTTCAGACTTGAAATTCGTTAAAGTGTGACTTAGAGAAAGATGGTTGAATTTCGGTTACGAAAAAGCAGTGTTGCGCTCACCAACTTGACCTAACACCCATTCGACGTCCAGACATTCACGAAAAGGAGAAGGGAAACCGTTACCTCAGCTGACGTCACGAATATGATTGGATGTGCCTGCCGCCATATGCGGCGGGTGAGCGCAATGCCGGTTTTTTGTAACCAAAATCCAATAATTTTTTTATAAGTCATCCTTTAAGATTTTTAAAGTATGAAAATAAAGCATTTTGTAGCTGAGACGTTCTTATTTCTATTACATGTAACCAGAAAAAATATATTTGACAGCACCACACCGAATATGCTTGTTAAAAAGGGTGCCCCCCTTTTTTTGGGCTACCTTGTATATATTGATAATATGCTTGGGTGTCTGTGTGTATGTCTGCGTCCATGTGCGCGTGTGCGGCGCCTTCCGCCTGCCTCTGGGAATCCGTCTCGCCTTCTCGAGCTCGTACTTTCTTTCCTGCTGTTGAGGCTGTCCGATCTGTTTTCGAGAACTGGAGAGGGAGGCACTGTACATCTAGCACATGCTGCCTCCTCCTACATAGTGGGTGTTGACACCTCCATGCAGAATTTCCCGCGGCAACGCGTAAAAGTCCCCGCGCATAGCATTTGGAGTCCCCATTCATCCCGCTGGATGAAGGATGGCCTCCTCGCTGGGTTGAGGTCTCCGTCTGTATATTTATCGGGATCCCAGTCCCTTTATCGATCGGAACTCTCTCTTCGTATTGATCGACACTCTCACAAGGAGATTGACTCCCGAGGGTGAAAGCGGCTGGATACCATTTGGATGGGATAGAATAGGAGCGCGGAGAAATGGACGCCGTCGGCCGCGTCGTAACCATCCCGTTTCTTTATCTGTATTTTTCACTCCTAGGTCTGCATGAAAAGTCTGTATGGTAGACATAAACTGTCATCCCCCTGGGTATGGGGGATGGGGGCGTACAATGTCTGAGCTGGTGCTACGTAAAGCGTTGAGAGAGCAACTGACTCAAATGGTGAATTCCCGAAAATGCTACACACTTAGTCTTACCTTGTTAGTCCTTAGACCCTGTTAGTTCGTGGTAGTCTTCCACTGGTCGGCTAGATGGAAGTATGTAGGAACTAACAGACAGTCAAAGCCAGATGGATGCTCCCTGATGTACTTATCTGCTATCCCAACAGGTTCAGGTTCAGCAGAAAACTTCCCCATGTTGGAATTGTGGCTGTCGACCCTTCTCTTGTACTTTTGCACCACCAGACAATGGAGTCAGATCTCACACATGTTGCGTTTGCTGAATTTTTGGATGTTGCATCATCGGACCGGACAATGATTTCATTTTCGTGTTGCACAATGCTGAAGTGCACAAAAGGGTCATACCTCCATACCCAACCCACTCCATTCAATTCCTCCCTCCCTCCTCTCCCTACATTCCTTGGTTAAATATAATCAAATTCAGGTTCTCGCCCTTCAAAGTAGAAGTGAAGAAAGGAATCGATGCGTTGCTGGCCCCAGTGCCTATCTCTCAGTTGGCAGCCGCATCAGGGAGGACTCATATGTGATATCGATGCTCAAAGAAAAACATCGGTGAAGAGTCAATTAGCAACGTGAATACGGATGCCTCATACAGATATGCAAACGAGCGTTCTTTTCAATACGTCAAACTACCGCGCTGTAGGACCATCGCCACGACTGTTCCATCTCAAAGTGGAGGGTCTATCTAGGGCCAAGTGCGATTACTCGGGAAGGCTTCTTGAAACCCACATGATAGACGTATTTCTGTAGCAAGAAACCCAAACCACCAGCGACGAAAGAGCATCTAGCCTTAAAATCCCGAGATTCCTGCTTGCCGCCAGTCACCACCTTCCAAAGCATGGACTAGCAAAATACGTGAAGTATCAACTCAAGGAAATCACGATGATGAATGCAGAAAAGTGCACGGTGACATCCGTCACCATCAAAATCAAGGAAGTTTCCATAACAAACGTATACAAACCTCCCAATGCCTTATGGACCCCGAACATGCTGCCTGTCTCCAACCCCCAGTCAAAAATTATGCTTGGCTTAAGGTTGGGCCATAGATGGGGAAGTTGGCGGAAGGTCGGGCAATAGTCGGGTTGGCCCCACATCGATTCCCCATCCTTAAGCCACCCGTGGGGTATTTTCCTATAAAGGGTACCCAGCAGTTGTGACCTACTGACATGGACCATGCACGAGCCATTGATGTAATGCACAGTGTTTTTCATTTGACTTCGACACTTCATGTCAAAGATCAATGATGACTGACTAGTGGAAAATGTTAATACTATAGACAGGATGTATTTTCCCCATCGGCAAAAGGTAGATATAACCTTTTGCCGATGGGGAAAATTATGAGCATTCTTCTCATGACTAATGACTACTCTGCACAATCGATGTACCCTGGAAGAATGAAGAAACTCAAATCATACTCAATAACTAAAGAAGAGAAGAGCACGCGGTCCCGCTAGGGTTGATTGACTCCCGGAATGACCCTTGACCCATGCGTACCGTGTCAGCGGCTAGATGTCTGTAGCGAACCTGGGTGTTTTCAGATACTAGAAGTGCAAGGAATTAAAATCTAATCTTATATCGCCGGCTAAAGTTTACATAGGGGACATTTATAACCCAAAGCTATCAGAAAATAAAGTGATTTACTTATTCTAGTCCGGCTTCTGGAAGGGCCCCTGGTCATGACAAACTCTTGCATCAAGCTCATTTGCGAGCTGGTTCCCGTGAGGACATTCGGGAAGCGCGCTTCCACGAGCGTAACTATCGACCCTCGCTCTCCTCAAGCAACGACAAGGAGATCTAATCTTTCAGAGGAGGGTTGGCATAAGCCTTATAACGATCTAGTTCTATTGGGAACAGTTGACCTTCCCCTCTCCTTGACCGGCGAAGAGAGAGAGGTAGGTCATATCCAAATTATCCAATTGTCGAACGTTTGGCGTACACTCAGAGAAATTAGTGAATCGAGATGAAATGCTTCTCCCAATTTTCGCATTTCGATTTATTTTTCTCAAGAGAAAAATAAATCCACTGGATTTTCAATTGATATCTCTCGTTTCCCGACCGTGCAGCGTCGCCTGAAAGGCGTTCGCAAAACCAAATGCGTCTATAGCCGAGTCGAAAGGGTGGTTTGAGTAGCCTTGCATCGTCTAGACACACGTTAACCTCCGTATTCCACCTCATCGTGCCGAGGAAGCCTCCCCCCTCCCTTCCTCCTCCCCCATGAACCCTCGGGGCAATGCATTGATAGTCGAGGGATTCACACGCAACCGCCTGAGTGCATGGCCTCTTCGCCTTCCCTCCAACCCATGCGAGTAGCTCGTGCGCCTTGAAGGGATTCCCATGTAACCGCTTACTTCAGTCTTCGAGTCCAGTTTCATAAGGTGTTTGTATTTCGTTTGGTGCGTTGGTGGTGCAACACGTATCGCCAATATGAGATCCGACTGTCAACTATAGATATTTAACAGTCCTTTAAGGATACATGGATTCCTATGGGAGAAACAGAGCTCCTTCGCTAGAAGCCCCATCGTCTCCCCTAAATGAAGTTTGTGCATTCGGGCTTTAAGCTCAAAGGCCACTATATTCCCACATTAGGACATGCAAGGCAAATTTCGATGTGGCTGATGTTCATCGCGAAATGTTCAATGCGACAGAAGTGCAACTCCATGTGATGCGTTTTTATCGCATCCAAAATTTGATGTGATTACCGCATCCAAAATTCAATGCGATAAAGACGCATCACATGGAGGACAGATTTTTTCGCGAGAAAAATGCATCAAACTGAGGCACTGAATTTTCTGTGAGTAAATTAGGTAGCCAGAGGAAGCCAGAGTGGAGAATGTGGGTGGGGGCTAATTAGAATGTGGCAATTATTACTGCATCATTGAGGTGGATTGAAGGTGGATGCATTCGTTAAAGGTTGGCTCATAGGTGGCACAGTTGCAGTCCATACGTGGCTATGAGATGGTCAGAGAAGGTTGGCCTGAAAGTCGGCCGACCCAGACATGACCAACCATAGCCAACCATAAGCCAACGATAACCTTCTGATGGCCCGTAGATGGTGTATGGATGGGCCACCATTCAGATTCAGTCGGTCCAACCATGCATTTTCGACTGGGCCATCCTGCAATATATGCCGGTGGTTTCAACAGCCATCACACGGCATGGGGATAAGCATCGGACGAATCCACCGGGGAGCAGCTCATAGACTGGGCGACAACTGAGAACATCTTCCTAATGTTCCATACTAAAGACCGGGCACTTTTTATTCGGCACGCTTGCGGAAAGACTCGACCCCGACCTCTGCTTTGTATCCTGTGCTGCAAATGGGGAAGCACTGAATGCATCCAGAACGGGTCTGGACAACTTCCCGCACAGCCAACAAAGATCAGTGCTAATCCCCGTCGGGATTGAATTCCCAACCATCTCCTCCATCCCGCTGCCCCGATACAACTTCAGAAAAAGCCAATTAGCAAGCATTCACCGCAGCAATCGAACACAGTCTCCAGGATACCATCAACCCTGAAAACTTCGAACGCTTCACCACCCTCGTTAAGAAGGAAAGAATCTGCGCTCAAATCCCCTGTGGCTTCAGAGTGGCCTACACTCAGCGCTGCAGTGATAAAGCGAGATCCTGCTCTAGGAATACATGGAGACAGGAAACTGAGAATGCGGCGCATCTCTCTTGGACTCGCTGAAATAGGCCAGAAGACAAAGGTGGATGGAAGCGATGGAGTCAATAGACTTAACGCATTCAAATCGTAAAGCCTGGTGCCTCTTGGGCGCCTCGGATCCGCACCACCGCCAGAGAACAAAGCTGCCCATGCATCAACAAATGATATTGTTATTGCCCAGATGTTATTGGGTTGGCCAGAAAGTTCTTCCATGTTACTTGCAGGTGACATTGCGCGATCATGACACAAAATCACTCGATGCGAAAATTCATGAA